TTGGGGAGGGGCGGGTCCATCGTCGACCACACCCCCGCACCCCTCAGCTGGAGCTGCTCTTCCCAGGCTTGCGGCGCGGGCTTTCTGGGCGCGGCAGGAGCCCAGTTTCAGGACCGCGAGAGGCTCAGAGACTGACCTGCGAGGTACCAGCCGCTCCGCGACGCCTCACTTCGGCCAGACACGTCACATTAAACCTCTATATCCTCCCCTATGCCAGGCAGAGCCCCGAGGTGCTGCGGGGTTGTTGACTTTGTGCAGTAATGGGGACTGATCCAGGGTCTTCACCTTACTTACCATCATCAGCGCTTTTTTAATTTTTCTTTTGCCACACGGTCTCTAAACCGCTAAATTGCTTCGACTGGGTTCAAATTTGCGATCCTCCTGCCTCACCCTCCGGAGTGCTGGGATTACAGGTGAGCCCTAATACGTCCCCAGGGGTTGTGCATTCCTTACCCAAGACCAGCCGACTTAGTCCCTTAGCCTAGCCAGTCTGTCTCCCCTCTGCCAAACGGGATGTAACAAGAGGGCCACTAGGAGACCTGTTGACACCGTCTGTGAACGCTTGGGGCTGGGTTGTGTTCCAGCTAGGGGAGCGCTCTACCGATCCAGGGCGACACCTGACCCAAAATACCACCTGGCTGGTATGTGAACGCTAGGGCTGATGGGTCCTGCCACACGACCGAAGTCTGTTCTGATTTTTTAAATTATACAAAAACTGAAGACAGGTTTTTATTTGGAAAAATCTACCAAAGACCCCCTTACTACACACTCCAGACAGGACAGACCTTCCTGCAGCTCCCACCCCACCCCGCAGCCTCACCGTCCACCCTACCAGTGGTAATGGGCCAGATGGAGCTGGGCCAGGAGGGCGACCTTGAACTGCTGACTTTAAAGCTTCTGTGCGGCAAGTTACCAGCCTGGCCCAGCTGCTGCTTTAGCCCTGGGGCCCAGTAGACATAGCCCAAAGAGAAGCGGTTTTGCCCTCACCACCACCAAAGGCTAAGGCCTCAAAGGCCTAGTATTGGAGCTGGGTGTGATAGCACACAGGTAGTCCCAGCACTCTGGGAGGCTGAGACAGGGGGATCTCAAATTTGAGGCCAGCCTGCATAATTTAGTGACTTAGCAAGACTGTCTCAAAAAAAAAAAAAAAATCTTAAAAGGCTGATGAGGTAGCTCAGGGCTAAGGCTTTGTGTTTAAACCCCAGTACCACCAAAAAACAAAATAAAATGACCTAATATCAGCCCAGGGTGACCCAGAGCAATCTGTTGTGCCTTTCATTCTGGTCCTAATGCTGTTAACTCAGAGCACTAGTGGAGACCATGGAGCCTCAGGCTGCAGCTTTCCTGCTAACCTGTTGTTACCAGGCAGCTGCACCTGTGTCTACACCTGTGAAGTTGGAGTATGAACACCTGAGGGTCTTTCTGACCCAGGAAGCCCATTCACTTCTCTGTGTCTACTGCCCTTTGCCACTGATGTCTAAGGGGCTGCCTGTCTGGGCCTGGGGTCTCAAAGGCCTAGCAAGAGGCTGTGTCCCAGAATCAGGTCTTTGCCTGCTGAGGGACCTGGGCAGGAACCTTGTGTCAGCACCACAGCAGCTGGGGTGAGCTAGGACTGAATCTATTTCGGGTGCTAAGGATTGAACCAGGGCCTCCGGAATGGGAATCTAAGTTTCTGTCCCTGAGCCTTCCCCATCCATCCAGTGGCTCAGAGAGGTTGGGACACTTGCTCAAATTCACATAGCTCAATGCAGCAGAACTCCAGTTCTAACCCATGTACCAGGCTCACACTCCATTACTCTTTTTTTTTTTTGGTACCAGGGATTGAGCTCAGGACCTTGAGCTTTTGAGGCAGGCAGTGGCACCACTGAGCTAAAATCCAGCCCTCCATTACTCTTTTAAATCAAAAAGTGAGAAACCAAAACCTCTCTTACTGTGCTTGTCTAGAATTCCTGGCAGAGATAACTATTCACTTGGAAAGCCACTGAAGGGCAGAGAAAGAGCATGCTTAAAGGAAAGGGCTAGAGCTAGGGATTTAGCTCAGTGGTTTCACTGCCTGCCTTGTAAGCACAAAGTCCTGAGTTTAATCCCTGGTACCAAAAAAAAAAAAAAGGAAAGGGCTGACAGCCTGCAATCTGAGGTCAGTAGACTGTAAACTTTCACCTTTCCACATTTTGCTTTGTTTTAAGACAGAGTCTCATTATGTAATCCAAGCTGATCTTGAACTTACTATGTAGCCCAGGCCAGCCTCAAACATGTAGTGATACTCCTGCCTCAGCCTCCTGACTGCTGGCATTACACTAAGGCTGGCTTCCACATTTTTGTTTTTGTTTTTTTAAACAGGGTCTCACTGTAGTTGAGACTGACCTGGAACTCACTATATAGCCCAGGCTGGTCTCGAACTCACAGTGATCCTCCTGCCTCAGCCTCCTGACTGCTGGCATTACACTAAGGCTGGCTTCCACATTTTTGTTTTTGTTTTTTTAAACAGGGTCTCACTGTAGTTGAGACTGACCTGGAACTCACTATATAGCCCAGGCTGGTCTCGAACTCACAGTGATCCTCCTGCCTCAGCCTTGCAAGTGCTGGAAGTACAGTCATGTGCCACCGTGCCCGGCTGGCTTCCACATTTTTAAATTAAACTTTTGTTGTTGGTGGTGGTCACAGTACTAGGAATTGAACCCAGGATCTTCATACTAAAACAAATCCCTACCCCTTTATTTATTTAATTTCAATCTTGATATTGTACTCGCTAAGTAGCCTGGACTAAGATCAAGCTGTGACACTTCTGCCTCAGCCTCCCAGAGTGCTGGGATTACAGGTGTGCACTGGGCTCCATTTCATTAAATCTAAATCACATACACAGTCCCTGAGGAAGCACAAAATGTCTGTCACTCAGTCCCCACCCTCTAAGAGATGGGCACAGATGCAGTCACCACAGACCCCAGGATAAGAAGAGTCAGTTTTGGGCCGGGGATTTAGCTCAGCGGTTCTGTGGCCTGCCTTGCAAGCACAAGGACCCGAGTTCTCAATACCCAGTACCAAAAAAAAAAGAAGAGTCAGTTTTGAGGACAGGACAGGCATCTGACAGAATCCTGTCTGCAGGGGGAGCAGCCCTCAATCCGCTCCTCCAGACTCCAAAATCTGAGGAGTCAGGGAGAGGGCAGCGGCTGGCACCTTGCCAGACCCACACAGCGGGGCTCATCTTCCCTGGTGTGTTCGCAGACAGAGGACAACATCTGGCAACAGCAGGGAGTGGGTACTGGGTGGCAAGGGGCCAGGCCTGGAGAAGGGGGACCCGGCAGGACCTCCAGGAAAGAGGGTGTGGGGGTGAGGTGGGGGAGGGAACCCGAGCTGCCAGGAGGGGGCGTGGCAAAGGGGGGGCCTCATGGTGACTCAGATTCCATCTGGAGGCTGGGATCATAGCAATGCCATTATTAGAAGTTGGAAAATGGGAGAGGGCTGTGGGGAGGGCTGGATGACAGAGCTATTTATGGTCACCTCTTCGTTTCCCTGCCAGTAGTCTGCCCTCTTCCCCACCCAGTCTGCCCCAGTAAAACTTCCAGCACCTTCCTGCAGAGTTGCTGCCCGCTGCCCGGGAGGGCAGAGCCTGGGCACCTGCACTGTGCACAACCATGGCCTCCACCACCCTCCCCTCCTGCTGCCTCTGTCACCAGCTGCAGTAGGGACCAGCAGCATTTTCCAGGCTTTGACTGTCCCCGTGAATGAAGCGGTCAGAACAATCGGTGGATGTGAAAGATTACTGTTTATTTTAGGGCAGAAATCAGAAAAAAAAAAAGGAAAAGCTCAGAAGAAGTGCTCAGGGAGGAAAAGGGGCTTTGAAGGAAAAAGATAGGTGCTGCCACCACAGCTGACCCCTGCAGGAACAAGAGCCGGACTCCCAGTCAGTTGCTGCTGTCTTTCTGTCTTCTGTCTAGGAGGCCCCACTGGAGCTCATGCTAGAAGATTGGCAGCAGGTGCCAGGCTTGGAGGTCCACAAGTCTCTTGGATCAGCAGGTTAAGCCCAACTGCCTCTGCTCCCCAGAACCCTGCCCTAGCTGTTTCCCATGGGCTACCTTTGCACCTTGGACCTGTCCCTTCCTTCAACCAAGGCACCCCCCAAGCCAGGCCGACTACTTGGGCATTTGTCACCATGATTCAGATGTTGTGCCCAGACGCTGGGGTGATGGGATCTGGAGAGGTGCCTGGGAGGCAGCAGAGCCTTTGTGAATGGGCTTAGCACCCTTGTGAGAAGAGCAGAGAGGACTGGGGATTTAGCTCAGTGGTTCCACTGCCTGCTGTGCAAGGTCCCGAGTGAGTTCAATCCCCAGTACCAGAGAGAGAGAGAGAGAGAGAGAGAGAGAGAGCACAGAGAGATCCCCTCGAATGAGGGCCTCACTGGGAGCCCACCCTGCCAAAGCCTGTGTCCCAGGCTTCCCAGCTCCACACCTGTGTGCCTGTGGCCCTGAACTCAGCCCACCCACCCTGATTTTAACTTTGTAAAATGGACAATAATGAAACTCAGAAACAAATGTGGAAGTTTTTAAAATACCGATTTCATGACATTTTCTCTCTATTGCTTAAGACTAAAAATTCCTAATAAAACTAGACATAAAGAAGCCAGGATGAGGAAAAATGACTGCAAGCCACTCAACTAGGTGCAGAGGCAGTCTGTGTGACTAAGGGCCTGGTTACCAGGCTATCACTTAGCCTCTCTGAACCTTCATTTCTTCATCTGCAGAAGAGGGATAACACCAGCACTTGGGAGGCTGAGGCAGGAGGATTGCTACAAGTTCAAGGCCAGCCTGAACTACATAGTGAGATCTTGTTTCAAAAAAAAATTAAAACAATCTCAGCCTTAGGAGGCTGAGGCAGAAGGTTTCTGCAAGTTTGAGGCCAGCCCTGTCTACATAGTGAGTTCAAGGCCAGCCTGAATTATATAGTGAGAACTTATCTCAAAAAAAACAAAAACAGGGCTGGGGATTTAGCTCAGTGATTCTGCCACCTGCCTCACAAGCATAAGGACCCAAATTCGATCCCTAGTACCAAAATAAAAACAAAAACAACAAAATCAAAAACCTGGGGATAACAGCACCTGTTCCTAGGGCAGCTCTGAGGTGTTGCTATGATGGCAGATCATCTGGTTTCCTGAGGCCCTGTGACATCCAGACCTGTTCCAAGCATGGACAGGTAGACACATTCCCTTTCTGAGAGGATGGGGTAGACTATGTCAACAGATCATTTCCCCACACAGGGATGTGGCTGCAGGGCACTGAGCCACCCAGTGTCTTTGTTTTTTGTTTTATTTTGCTTTGTTTTAGAGACAGGGTCTGGATATGTAGTTCAGATTGTCCTTGAACTCACTATGTAGTCGAGGCTGGCCTTGAACTTGCAGCAATCCTCCTGCCTCAGCCTCCTGAGTGCTGCGATTACTCAATTTTCCACCAAGCCCAGCCACACAGTACCTCTGAAGGGAAGTCCTGTGGCCTCTGTCTGTGAAAGGCACATTCCCTGGGACTCATGCTGTAGAAAGGCTCTGCGAGTTGTAGAGAGACAGACATCCAAGGGTGGTCACTGTGGTGCTGTCTATAACAGGAGGATTCAGAAGGACCTAGTATCTACTGCCCATTGTAGGTCTGTATTTACTGATATAGGAAGTTGTTCTGTGGGCTGCGGGTGCAGCTTAGTGGTAGAGCCCTTGCCTAACACGCACAAGGCCAAGGGTTCAATCCCCACTACAGAAGAAAAAAAAAGTTCTGTGATAATATTAAGTGAGAGAAAATCGCAGGGGTGGGGGCCCTCAGCGGTAGAATTCAGTGTAGCATTTGCCAGGCCCTGGCCTCAGTCAGGGCTCAACACACATACACACACACACACAAACACACACACACACGCATACGCATGCACACACGCAAGCAAACAAAAACTACAGGGACCAAGCCTTTCTCTGTCTGCATTTATTATGTATATATACATATATATGCTTGCTTACCTACACATTCCATTCCACAGATGAGTGCACACGCACATGCACGCACACATCCCCACATATATAAGCAAGAGGCTGAAGACACGGAAGCTAGAGAGTATCTGGGGGGGGTTAGGTGGAACTCTTTTTTTTTGGTATGGGGATCGAACTCAGGTCCTTGCACTTGTGAGCAGGCAGCAGCACCACTGAGCTAAATCCCCGGCCCCTCCTCTTTGAGACAGGGTCTCACTATGTAGTTCAGACTGGTCTTGAACTCACGGTGATCCTCCTGCGTCAGCCTCTCAAATCGCTTCCCACACCGGGCTAGAACTTTGTTTTGATTTAACAAAATTATGTAGGTTTCAAATATTATATATAAAACAAGTATTTATCTCTTTTGTAACCAGAAAAACAACAATCCAGGCATCTGTTTCATCCAGTCATGGTGGCCCACATCTGTAATCCCAGCGCTCTAGGAGGCCAAGGCAGGAGGATTGCAAGTTCAAACCAGCCTGGGCAATTTCATAACTTAGTGAGACCCTGCCTCAAAAAATAAATGAAGGGGCCCAGAGATTTAGCTCAGTGGTTTTGGCGCCTCCCTTGCAAGCACAAGGACCCGAGTTCAATCCCCGGTACCAAAATAAATAAATGCATAAAGGACTGGAGATGTAGCTTAGTCTGAATCCAAGTTCCATCTCCAAAAAAAGCTCAATCTGTTTTTTTACCCAAAGTATAAATAAATTGAAAACAAAAGATAGATAGTAGGAAACAGAGATATAGATCTTTTGCAAATTAAAAGGGGACTATGATGGAGGGAGGGAAGAGGAGGAAGGGAGAACAGAGAAAGTAAAAATAATTAAGAGCATTATGTACTTGTAGCAATGCCCTATGATGAATGTAATCATTATGTACAGCAAACATGCACCTATATGAATTTTTAAAAAACAAAAGCAATGATCCCAGCACTTCAGAGGCTGAGGCAGGAGGACTGTACCAATTCGAGGCTAGCTGGGGAGACCCTGTCTCAAAAAACAAAACAAGATAGATAAGTACTTATAGTGCCAGGCAGGCCTTACAGGAAAGCGCTTCCTCTGGCACCTGGCTGGTGGGGGAAGGGAAGAGTTTAAGGTTTACGGGGTGGGGGAGGGGAAGAGGAAGTGGCCAGGGAAGGGAGGGTGAGGGCCCACAGAACCTGCCACACTGAGCTCCCTGGGATGTCATGGGGAAGTTCTGGGGACACAGAAAGCAGAGGAGAACGTGGTTGGAGATGAGGATGAGATACTGGGATCCAGAGCAACAGGACCAAAGTATGGTCCTCGGACTCTGGGGACAGGTGACCCAAACAGCTTTTGTGATCATGCCACCAGGCCTGGCTGTGCTTTCTTGCCAACCATGTTCCTGCAAATGCTGCAGAAGCCGTGGCAGGAGCTGGGTGCCTCAGCGCCAGTCCTGCCCAGAACCCTATGCCAGAAGTGTCTTCTGTACACCACACTTCATGACTCAGGAGACACTAGGAATCTCATTAAACCCTGGTCCCAGGTGTGCAACTTTCCAATCTCCGTCATGGGAGTGGGAAGGCATTTTGGGCTGCAGACACCACAGTGGGGCCAAGTCCTGGATACGCACCAGGAGGAGCATGCTGTCTAACCCTGACAGAGGACAGGTCACTCAGACCTGGGATTTGGTAGATGCAGTCACAGGGATTGGCTCCAGGACCCCACCCTACCCCCCAGGATACCAAAATGCAAGAATGTTCAAATTTCTTACATAAAGTGTCAATAGTCAGGCATCATGTCCAGCACTCTGGGAGGCTGAGGCAGGAGGATGGCAGGTTCAAGTCCATCCTGGGCAATTTAGCAACTTAGCAAGATCCTGTCTCAAAAAAGGGCTATGGATGTAGTTCAGTATGAAGTTTCAATCCTCGGTACCACAAAAGAATAAAAGTTTTAAATGGTATAGTGTTTGCATATTATAGCCGATTCCCAACTTTGTGTATACTTTAAATCATCTCTCTAATAATTTATCTAATACAGTGTAAATGGGATATACAAATTTATTACATTGTATTTCTTTAAGGAATAGTGAAAAGAAAAATGTCCATGTACGTTGGGTACAGATGTAGTTTTTCCTAAATATTTTGATCCACAGTTGGTTGAAGCCTCAAAGATAGGCAGCCAACTAATATATTCCATAAAATTAATAAGGGCTGCAGATTTAGCTTAGTGGTTCCACCGCCTGCCTCGCAAGCACAAGGACCGGAGTTTGATCCCCGGTACAAAAAAAAAAAAAGCTGCCATTCATCACGGGAGCTGGACCAGAGGCACAGGGCTTCCCAGAGACCTCAGATAACCATCAAGGAACCAGTAAAGGCCCAGATGCTGGCCAAAGTTCACTTTTAGCCATATTTATTAGGTTGAAAGTAGCAGCTAAGAGGCTGCCTGGGTGGCTCCATAATGAACAGGGGAGCTGTTCTGGCTCAGTGGCCCTCTCCAGGGAGGGATCTGTGTATTTGGTCTTCCTGACATTGGTTTTACAATCACAGGTTCATCTTCCTGCATTGTCACCTTTCTGGTCAATTCCAATAAGTTTGGTTTGCTTGTTTGTCCTGAGAGAAATTAAGCTGGCCTTGAACCTGCTATGCAGCCCAGGCTGGCTGGTAGTGAGCCTCCTGCTTCAGCCTCCACATCCGGCTTTAATTCTTCCTCCAATTTTTCCATTCACTGCTTGTACACTTTTACTTCCGCTGCAGCCAGGACTACCCTGTCATCTACAGCCAACATCAGCTGCTTGCTCTCCTGTTGCTCATAGTCTTCCTGATCCAGTTGCTTAGGTAGAGCCAAGTCCTCCTGGTAGAATCCACTTTCAGAATCTCTACTTCCTATGCAGAGTTCTTGACTCTTCTCCCAGTCCAGCTTTGGCAGACTGCAGTGGCTGTGGTCGTTTTTCAACTTCTTCATTTGGTCTTCCAGTCCATTTAGTGGACACAGAGGCTCTGAGCTTAAGTTTTGAAAGTGCTGGCTTCTCTTTAACAAATGACATTGAAGTTTATGTCTCAAAGACATGTATCATTTCCTTAATTTGATTTTCCACCTATGGCCACCTCCTACTTCTCTGCTTGCTAATTCATCTGACCCATTTCCTTTATTTTTTTTCCCCTCCTTTATTTTGATCCTCAGATTCAGAGCCACACTTTAACTGGTTCAACTGTGCAGTAAAATTAATTAATATCTTCATAAGAGCTACTTCTGAATGAGATTTCTTTCTTTTTTTTTGGTACCAGGGATTGAACTCGGGTCTTCTTGCAAGGCAGGCCACCAAGCCACTGAGCTAAATCCCTGGCCAATTTTTTTTTTTTTAATGAGATTTCTTGAAGAATTTGATCTGCTGCTGAGCTCTGCCATGTGACTTCTTCCAGTCTTCAATTTCCTGCTGCAACTGCCGTTTTTTGTTTGTTTTTGTACTGCGCATGGAACTCGGGACCTTGTGTCTGCGAGGTAGGCAGCAGAACCACTGAGCTAAATCCCCAGCCCTGCAACTGCTTCTTCTTAAACCTAGCATTACCCCCTTACACTTCCTCTTCTTCTTCCTCTTCCTCCTCCTCCCCCAGTTATCTTCTTTTTCTTGCCAGGCAAATGAGGCACCACTGAGCTAAATAAATCCCAAGCCCTAGCATTTTCCCTGGCAGCACTCAGACCTCACCTTCTTTTCACTAAGCTTAGCTTTATTAAGGGCAATTCTGCAATAGTCACTGAAATAATATCCTTTAACTTTTCTTTTTTTCTTTTCTTTTTTTTTTTTTGAGACAGGGTCTCACTATGTAGCCCAGGTTGGCCTCGAATCTGCAGTGATCCTCCTGCCTCAGCCTCCTGAGTGCTGGGATTACACTCACCACGCCTAGCTTCTGTAGATTTCTTCTTTTCCTGCATCAAATTGTGATTTTCGACATTCAGTTCTCTCACATATCCTAACATAACACTAAGACTTCTAGCTATGTCACTCAGAATTTCATTAGTTTCTTCAAGTATCTTGATTTAACCCTCATATTTCATTGCTTCATTAGAGAGAATAGTTTGTTTCTTGGTCTCTTGAACGTGGTTCTTTGATTCCTTGATCTTCCATTCATAATTTAACAATTTTTGTTCAAGCTCTGCATTTTCCTTCAGTATGTGCTTCATCTTTTCAGAAAGTTGCTGTACAGTGGCTTGATACAAGCTGTCCTTTACAGCAAGCACAGTTCTCCAGAAGGAAATGGCAAATGAAACAGTCGCCAAGAAAGCAATAAGAAGCAAAGGCTTCCGCGGTAGTTCGTAAAAACCAGCCCCAGACTGCACATCATCTGGCAACGTAGGAACCAGCTCCAGGGGCTTGGCTACGGGAGCCTGTAGAGGATCCACCGGGATCCCAGCAGCTCCAGGTCCCTAGGCGGGGAGAAAGCGGACGCAGTGGCGCACATTGAGTCCACTGTACAAGGCAACTTCGTTGAGACGACCCTTCCACGTGGGATGGCGCAGGACTCCCGGTTCTCCGCCGACTCCTCCTTCAGAGGGAGGCCGCAAGGGGATGGGAGTGGGGGCGCTGGACAACTGGAACGAACTTCGCCTTCCCGGCCCAGGGCGCTCTCCGCTCTACTCTACAAGTAACACAGATCAACAAAAGGTTTCCACGGCGACGGCGGCAAGCCGAGCCACTGTGAGGGGCGGGGCCAGGCGGAACGAACCAACTGCTCCGCAGGGCAAGGGGAGAAACAAACGGGAGCGGGAGAGTCCAAGTGTAACAGACGAGTCGGATTGCTCACCATTGAGTCTTGGATTCTCCTCCTACCTCCTGAGTTCCGCTTCCTAACAACTAAACTAATCTTTCACCGGAGCTTTGTAATTCAGTTTCTCTGTCTGATCGTTTTATTTTACCGCCACTGCTATGGTCTGAATATCCTCCCAGCTTCGTATGTTGAAACTTGATAATATAATATTAAAAGGTGAGGCCTTTAAGGGATGATTAAATCACAAGGCAACAAATAGCATGAGTGGGATTAGTGCTTTTATAAAAGGAAGTGAATCTGCATATGGGGCTCCAGTCCTGTAATCCCAGCACTATATAGGCTGAGGCAGGAGGATCAACAGGAGTTCAAAGCCAGCCTGGGCTACATAGTGAGACCGTGACTGGACCTTCCCCCAAAGAAAGGATACCAAACCTGCATTTACTCTGTGTGTGTGTGTGTGTGTGTGTGTGTGTGTGTGTGTGTGTGTGTTGCTGTGATGAGCCCAGCCTTCGCACTTAGCTACATCTGTAGCCCTTTTATTGTTTTTATATTTTGAGACAAGGTCTCACTCACTAAAGGTTGCCCAGGCTGAGGTCAAACTCAAGATCCTCCTGCCTCAGCCTCCCCAGTGCTGGGATGACAGGCACAAGTCACTATACGCTAGTCTTTAAAATTTATCATATTATTTACTTTGTTCACCGTAACATGTAATGTATCTCAGAGAAACAAAGCCTCAGTCCTTCTAACTGAGGTTTTGTACCTTTGATACGCTGTCTCCATCACCTCCAGGCTTTTTTTTAGACAAGATCTCTCACTCCAGATTTTTTTTCCTGGTATGGGGGAATCACACTCGGGACCTTGCGCTTGGGATGTAGTTGCAGTGCCTTTGAGCTAAATCCCCAGCCCTCCAGATGTTTTTTAAATAGCAGCCTAATCATCTCTCCTTTGCCTTGCCCTGGAGTAGGGTCTCTGGGATCCAGCAAGCCTGTCTTGCCCCTGTAACAGCTAGACAGGCACCTGGGGTGGGTAATTTAAACTCCTACTAACTCTCACAGGAGGTGGCCAGATCTTGGATGGTACTGTTTACATGGTTGGATCTCAATTTCTAATTAATAATAGATTTAAAAGTCTTACATCACCTGATGAGACGGTGCACACCTGTAATCCCAGCTACTCAGGAGGCTAAGGCAGGAGGATCACAAGTTTAAAGTTGGCCTGGGTAATTCAGTAAGATCTTGTCTCAAAATAAACAGTAAAGAAAGACCAGCGGGAGCTGGGCATGGTGGTGCTCACCTGTAATCTCAGCACTCAGGAGGCTGAGGCAGGAGGATCACTGTGAGTCAGAGACCAGCCTGGGCTACATGGTGAGTTCCAGGTCAGTCTCAACTACATAGTGAGACTCTGTCTCAAAAAACAAAAAACAAACAAACAAACAAACAAAACAAAAAGGAAAGGCCAGAGGTATAGTTCAGAAGTACTTTGCAAGAAATAATACTGGAGATGGAATATGAATATTATATCTCTCAACCTGTTAACTGTATGATAAGCCAAATTCTTGTTCTCTAGAGATCAAAAAAGGAATCTTAGGAACAATGGAGGTCAAGTGCAGGAAGATATTTATTTATAGGAAAGCTCCTGAGGGGCAGGAGAGGATAGCCCAGGGACCATGCTTTACAGAGGAGTTTTATAGGGTGAAATCCATGTGGGCCCAATGTGGGCCACAGCCATGAATATCCAATAAGGTTACAGTACAGTCACTTAGGTAATGGTGGTCCAATTGGGAAGCAAGTCACATAACAAGTGTGGATGGAAAAAAGAAAGATTCTCCTAGTAAGTGGTGGGTCCACAGGTCTCTGGTCATCCACCAGGGTGGCCAATGTCTGTCTAGACTTCACTAGTCCCAGTGTTTGTTCTTTGAGGAAGTATGTAGGTCTGGTCGTCTTGTCTTTGTCGTGAGGCCTGATTTTCAGCCGATGTGTACATCTCTGGTACAGCTATGTATGTTTCACCTTTGTCCTGATCCTCTCAAGGACCCAGCTCTATTTGACTGCCTATAATATTTCTACCTAACTCATCTGTCTATAATAGTTGAATGCCCCTGGGCTCAGTACCACTAAAAGAAGAAAAGAAAAAATTTAAGGGGCTAGGGATGTAGCTCAACGCTTCGGCACTCCTGGTTCAATCCCTAGAACTGGAAAAAAAAAAATTGTAGGAGCACTACATCAACGGAAAGAGTGGGTCATTAACTAGGGAACAGCTTTATTTATGCATTCACATCTCCTACAGCCCTGGGATGGGTCATGTTGTGAGAGTCCAGGGTTTTATTGCATGTGACTAAGGTCAATAAAACTGCAAACCCATTCAGGGACTTAGCTCAGTGGCGCCACCGCCTGCCTCGCAAGCACAAGGATCCGAGTTTGATCCCCGGTACCAAAAAAAGGGAAAAAGAAAAAGAAAAAAATACTGCAAACCCTCCCCCTAAAAAGCTAGCATCAGAACTGGCCGCAGGAAGGAGTGGCGATTAAACCATCCTCAGCTCCCTTACCAGACTGTTCTTTATTAGTAGAGCTTCCGGTTCAGACTCAATGCCGCCTTGTCCCTGCTGGTTGCTCCTCTTTTCTGCGGCTCACTCTGCACTCTGTCAGGTAGGTGGAGGAACAGCTCAGAACCACAGAAGAGTTGTGGGGTGGAGAACTACCTGTGGTGAGGGAGCAAGTGACAAGTGATAAGTGCCAGATGTCCTGGCAGATACTGAAGGGGAAGGGGAGACCCCAGGGACCGGTCACCCTGGAGGTGAATCCTGAAGTCATGAGCCATGGCTGAAGACCCGAGTCCTAGTATTGCAGACTGCTAAGTTAGTGAGGAATTATTACAAGGCCGCTAGACAAAACTGGGTCCTCAGCATAGAAAAACAACTGAGGCATGTTCAGTGGCTAGCATTATAAATAGAAAAGAGGTACTACTTCCCCTAGAGATGAATAGCGTGACTGATATTCTAAACAGACATCAATCTCCCTAGCCCATTTCCTTTCTGGAAATTATGTGATTTGTTTTCCCTTTTGATCCCCATTTAATCAATATTACTTGGGTGACTATACTTGCAATCTTTTTTTTGACCAGGGATCCAATTTGGGACCTTGCACTTTTGAGGCAGGCAGCAGAACCATTGAGCTAAATCTCCGGCCCTGTACTTGTAATCTTACTGGTTCATCATGGTTTTGTCCCACCTCATGCTTACTTTGTATTTTTCCCCTGGGACTTACAGTTTTTTTCCCACTTTGTACCTGCCTCACCTCACAGCTTTACTCAATAGAATGCCTTTGAAAATCAGGATGGGCAGGCAACCCGCTTTCCGGCCCCCTTCTGCTCTCTTAGATGGAAGCTTTCTTTCTCAATAAATTTTTCCCACTCTTTTTTTTTTTTTTTTTTTTTTTACCCTTTTTTTTTTTTTTTTTTTTTTTCCGGGGATTGAACTCGGGTCTTTGCGCTTGCAAGGCAGGCTACCAATTTTTCCCACTCTTAACCTCTGTTGTTCCTAGAATTAATTCCTCAATTTGAGAGAATACAAACTTGCATTTCAGATGTCTAGCAGGTTTGGGACTTACATTTACTCCCCTTATATTACTGAATCAGTTTGTTGCCTGAGGGGTGGCAGGGTGTGTAGCTGTGGTACCCTGAGCCAAAGTACTGATTAGTCTCCATTGTGGCCAAGTGTCATGGTCACCAGGATGACACTAAACACCTCACAGGTGCAAACAGACACAAATACCTTCAGGCACATGGGTCCTACAAAACATAGTAAAATCACTAGGAAGTGCTGAGTTCTGAGTCATTTATTGATTTCAAGTTTGTTTGTTTTTGGTTTTTCAGTTTGTTACTGCAGTGCTGGGGATGGAACCCAGGGCCTCACGCTAGGCAAGTGTTTTACCTCTGCCCTATGTTCCTACCCTAGTTTTGAGTCTTTTATTATAATTTAATTATAAGTTTAGAGAACTTAATTCTTAGTAAAGGCTGTTGTTTTAGTCTATTTTCTGTTGCTATAACAAAATACTCAAGACCAGGTAATTTATAAAGAATAAAGGTTTGGGCCAGGATTTAGCTCAGTGGTTCTACCACCTGCCTTGCAAACAGAAGGTCCTGAGTTTGATCCCCAGCACAAAAAAAAAAAAAAAAGAAAAAAGAAAGAAAAGAAAAGAAAAGAAAAGAAAGAAAGAAAAAGAAAAGAATAAAGGTTTATTCCACCCATGTTCTGGATGTTGATCCATCCAAGGATGAGGTATGAGTTCTGGCAAGGGCCTTTTTTCTGGTGGGAACCTCTATAGAGTTCCAAGGCAATGCAGGGCCCCACATGGCAAGAGGGGTGCATGTAAGAGGCAGGGCCACCATAGTCTTCATAAAAGACCCACTCCCAGATAACCCCAGATGGGGCCCATTGATCCATGAGCCCATTAACCTATTCACCTCTTTTTCACTTTTTTCATCTATTTATTTTTGTGGCACTGGAGATAGAATCCAGGGCCTTTACACCGAGCTATATCCCTACCCCACCTCCCTTTTTTGACAGGGTCTCTCTAAGTTGCTAAATTGCCCAGGCTGGACTCCAACTTGCAATATTCCTGCCTCAGCCTCCCACTTCTGAGATTATAGGCCAATCCTGGCTCTAATTTTATTTTTTTGAGGAGTCGTCTTATGTTTCCCAGCTGACTTTGAACTCCTGGGCTCAAGTGATCTTCCTGTTCCTCCTCCCAGATAACAGGTACTACTCGTACATCCAACCCAGTTACCTCCTAACGGTCTCGCTGCCTTCCCTTAATGCCTCACAGTGGGGATGAAAAGTCGACACAGGTTTTGGTGCGGACATTTAAACCGCAGCAGCTGTGTTTAACAATTGCCTTTCAGGGTCTCTGAGCTGGTGCAAGCTGGTTCCAGCCACCACTCTGGCAGCCAGTGTGTTCTTGTGGAGCCTGCAGTCACCTGGTTTGAGCTTCCTAAGGCCTGGCACCTGTTCTGCTCTCGCCAGGATGCAGCACGAAAGGTGAACTTTCCTTCCCCGGCTCTGTGCTGTTTGCCATTCAGCTCCTCAGCACCTCCCCAGCGCAGGGCAGGCTGGCTCAGGAATGCCAGGGACCAGAGCCCAGACAGGACTGCCCGTGAGGGCACCGTGGCCAGACAGGTATGACCTGCTGTTCACGTGCTCCCAAGGTCATCCAGCCGGCCAGAAGGAGAGGCAGCTGGGAACGGCCACTCTGCTCACAGCGTGTTGTAACATCAGCACCTGGGGTGAGAAAAGAGACCCCCCCCCAATCCTCTGCCCTGCTGTGTCCCAGAACCTAGGCCGAACTACCCTTCCTCAGTTTTGGCCCACTTCTCTCCACTGCAGCCACAGCCTTGAGGACAGGTGGCTCCTACTCTAGAAGGAGCCAGTGCACCACCCAGCTGTGACACAGGGACCGTCCTACCCATTCTGCTGTGCAGGCACAAGGCCCACTGGGGGACCAAAGTGCACGTTGCTGGTATTTTCCCTTCTCTCCTTTGTCTCCCGTCTCCACACCCTCGGTCCCCACAGGATCACTCTGATGCTGTTGTGTGAGGCTCCTCATTCACCTTGGCCCAGGGACGACTGGCTGTGTGGGAGAACCAAGACCCGGAAGATCACTGGAACAGTAGGTGCACAATGAGGAGGGTCACTGATGAGACCCTGGCAACACCCAACCTGAGGTCCCCTTATTATAAGGTAGGGGAAACTATCATAGGCGGTCAGAGACAGGGCTAGGCCCTCGGGAGAGTCAGACAAAGGTAAAAACACATTTCAACTGCGGCCTGAAGTGCATCTGTCGGAGGCCAGGCCTCAAGATAAAGAGGAAATGACCAGAACTGAGGTAAGTGCTAGCACCTGGTCTAATGAAGTCTAGGTGGGCATCAGTCAGCCAGGTGGGTGACCAAACCCTCAGACTCATTCTTTCCTGAAAAGTTCTTTGTTACTTCCATGTATGCCAGCTCTGTGACTTGCTTCACAATTGGATCAGTGTTATCTGAGTGACTATACTTTTTTTTTTTGGTACAGGGGAATCGAACTCAGTACCTTGTGCTTGCAAGGCAGGCACGGTGCCACTGAGCTAACTCCCCAGCAAACTTTTGATCATATTGGTTGATCATAGCTGTAAGCCATGTGGTACCCATGTGGTTGTGCTCTATAAAATTTCTCCTGAGAAGTGGGGTCCTTGGCGACTCCCTTTTGGGCCCCCTCCTGCCTCTCACAAGTTATATCTTTCCTCTCAATAAATATTTCCTATTCTTCATGTCTGTTGTTCATAGAATTCATTCTTCATGTTAGAGAACAGGAACTTGGCATATCACACGTCTAACACGTTGTAAGTTATAATATTTGCCCCGTATTGTTTGCAGTTCCCGTATAATTTCCTAAATCACCCTGAGCAGAGGAGATGGAAACAGTGAAGTCTGACAAGGTGGAGATGCCCCAGGAGAGAGGCTCCCAGGGGATGGCCCATAGCAGGCAGGCTACAAAGCAGACACATAAATGAGCACCAAAGGTGTCCCGTGAGGCTGGCAATGAAGAGGCCACCTATGACCTTGATGGGGTCAAGACCAGAAGCTGAGGAGGCTGGAGCAGGGAAGTCAGGAGCCCAAGCGCAGTGGGGAGAGGAGGGAAGGCTGGGAGGACTGAGGGTAGACTTCTCTTTAAGAAGGAAAAGGAAAAGAAATAAAAAAATAAAAAGTTAATAAAAGAAGGGAAAAAGAGGAGGCAGCTGCTAGAGGGACAGGGCACTTTGGGGGCAGGGGTTCACTGTTTGGTTCTGTTTTAAGCTGTCCTGAGCAGATGGGCATGCTGCAGAAAGTTGCTGGCAGAGGGAGGCTAAACAAAGGCCAGTGACAGAAACACAATGGCGAGTGGCAGCCCAGGGATCCAGGTCTTGGACAGGGGGCCGCACTCCTCCCTCCTGGCTTCTGGCCCAGTGGCCTCTGGCAGCTGAGGGCACGGGTAGTGTGGAGGTGGGGAACGGCAGGCACAGTGGAAGGAAGTTTCAGAGCAGCAGCAGAAGCAGTCTAGCACTAGGGGTTGGGGACAGTCCCCAAATGCATCAGTGTTCCAGCAGCCACTGACAGACTTCTCGAGGGGGCGGCACCTGGGATGATGCCTGCGACCTTAACCTCCTCATCTGCTCTTTTACTGCTGCTTTGGCCACCAGGGAGCAATACTCTTCCTCCAGGTCCTAGGGACAGCTCAGGGACCCAGCGGGCAGGCTCTGGATTTCTTCCTCCCCAACTTCTGAATGTGACTCTACCCTGCTCACTCATCTAGCAGCACTGAGCACACATCTTGTCACACACACACACACACACACGTGCAGGATGAGGAAGTGGCCAACATAGCAGGACTTCTAGTTCCATGTTGGCAATTTTCCATATCACAAGGTCTACCACAAGATCTCTAGAACTTGGTCATACAAAAAAATACAGTACAGGGCTGGGGATTTAGCTCAGTGGCACAGTGCCCGTCTTGCAAGAGTGAGGTCTTGAATTCAATCCGTAGCACTGCAAAAAATTTAAAAAATACAGTATATCCCTCCAGGAAAACACAAAACAAAATAAGAGGCTTGGTATACACCTCTCCCCATAGGTAGCTCCAGTGCCCTTTTCTTTTGACCCACATTTGCTTCTTCAGTAATTTAGACCTGAATTTCATTAGGAAGCAAATAGGCTTTCTCTCTGGTGGTGATAGCTGGGGTGCAAACCAGGAAGAGCTCTGTGATCAGCTAGTCAGGTCTGGTGTGGGGCAGTGAGGACTAAGGGGCACGTGCTGTCTGCCTGGGCTGCTAAGAGGTGGGGAGGTGACAAGGGCTGGCTGGCAGATTGGAGAGGGAAGCAGAGATGGCTTGTCCTCTGATAACATTCCACCACTTGACCCCGCAAAGGGCTCAGGGAGCAAGGAGTCTATCTGCTTAGCTGGAATTCCTTTTTTTTTTGTCCCCGAGATCGAACTCAGGACCTTGTACTTGTGAGGCAGGTACGGCACTGCTGAGCTAAATCTCTGGCCCTTAGCTAGACTTCTTGAGTGTAGACAGCTTTGAAGTCCCCAGGTCAAAACCACAAGAGACAACTATATCAGGAGTGCTTGGCAACCCCCCAGGACTCCCAGAGGCAGCACTGCATTCCCAGACAGTCTGAGAAGCCACTGTCTTCCTAGAGCCCCACAGCTAGGTAGATTGCTCCCTCCTGGCCTCCTTGGAAACTTTAAGGTCCTCAAACCCCCAAGAAAAACTTGTGGCACAGGGAGGGAAAAGAAAGGAAGAGCTGAATTGCTGGAGGTCCCTAATGAGTAAGTTGGCTGTGGAGAGGAAAAGGAACTTTCTGAAAAGGAAAAATGGAAGCAGGGCATGGTGGCGCATGCCTGTAATCCCAGCACTTGGGAGGCTGAGGCAGGAGGATCGCTGTGAGTTGAAGACCAGCCTGGGCTGCATGGTGAATTCCAGGTCAGTCTCAACTACATAATGAGACCATCTCAAAAAAACAGTTTAGGGTGAGCCCGTGGCAGAATTTTTTTTTTAAATAACATAGGAGATTAGGGCATGGCATAGCTGTGAGTTAGACCAGCCTGGGCTGCATGGTGAATTCCAGGTCAGTCTCAACTACATAATGAGACCATCTCAAAAAAACAGTTTAGGGTGAGCCCGTGGCAGAATTTTTTTTTTAAATAACATAGGAGATTAGGGCATGGCATAGCTGGTTGGGTTAATAGGGGTGATCTGTTAATTACAAGGTCCTGGCAGAAAAGTTCCCAAAGCTTTGCATGTGGATTTCTGGTGAACTCAAGCAGGTTTCCAATAGGATGGCCTGGACTTGATATCAGCCTGAGGTGTGGGATCCTGGCACCACCTTTCAGGATCTGTATGTAGAAGTTCTTGCTGGTTTCCTTGAGATTTGGACAGTAAGAAAGGACACAAACACTAAGAGGAACTTGCTATTGTGGCTTTCCTCGAGATAACCTGTTCTGTGTCTTCCAAGTTGTACTTTTTTTTCTGTACCGGGTAACTTTGGTCCTTGCACTTGCAAGGCAGGCGGCGGAGCCACTGAGCTAAATCCCTTGGGTGTACTTAGAATGCTTTTTATCCTTTTACTCAGCCCAAGCTCACTGTGCAGAGCCAGTTTCTCCCTCACTCTTCACTTTTACTTTTTCGAATTAACTTTGCCACTACTTTTTGGTCTTTTTGTTCAATTCTTTGTTTGAAATGAGAGGAATCTGGAATCTAACTCCAGGAGGAGTGGTGAGCAACCCAAAACCTTTTAGAAGGAGCTACCTGCTAACTCTTGGCAGAGCCAACCAGGAGAATCAAAAACCAGGAGAATTGGGTAACCAAAGGACTGGGGATGTAGCTCAGTGTCAAGGCCCTGGGTTTAATCCCCAGAGCCACAGACAAAAAAACAAAATCAAAAGAAGACATGAAATGGTGAGAGGATCTTCAGCCAGGGAAGAGGACGGAGGTGGTGCCCTGGAGTTGAACAGTGGGAACTCTGCATTCCCACTGCCTGAGAAGTGTGGCCCCGCCAGCCTCCCCTCCTTCCCCTGCAGGAGCCAAGGTGTCCTAAGGCTTCCCTGGAGAAGGCCCGGATGGCGGGCTCTTGGCAGCACCCTGGAGTTGACCGCAAGACACCCATCAAGGCCCTCCCTGCTTGGGGTTTGGGGGAATGGAGGTGAGTCAGGGGCTCCCACCCAGGCCTGCTGGTGGGGGTACTGTGGGTCCAGCACGGAGTTGGGGGGAACAAAAGCAAGGGCTTTGGGCCACAAAGCCAGACAGCAAAATGAGTGCTCCCCCTTCAAGGCCAAGGGAGAGAGCTAATGAACCCCAGCAGCGGGGAGACAGGTGACAGATACCATGGGGTGGACCCCAGGTGGACCCCGGGCTCATGGATGGCGAACAAAGAATCGCAAGTGTTCATCTATCCAGTGGTAGAAGAAACAGCTGCTGTTTGTGGGACATGATGGAAAGATGTGCTCAGGGCAGGTGCATGCCAACAGAAGCAAGACTGGCGGGAACAGAAAAATGGTGTCAGGGTGACAGGGAAATAAAAAGCACAGAGATAAATCAGGCTTTCGGGTTTTAAATGCTGCGCGCTCTGGCCCAGGTGCTGATCATTGGCTTTCCGTGTAAGATTGTGGGGGTTGATTGAGTGGGTGCTGAGTCATCCTCAGGGGCTGTCAGTCATGCTCGTTACATCCCATCCGTGAGATGGTGAAATGCAGTCCCTATGTATGAACCCATAACAAGGCTGGCCTGGGGAAAAGGTCACTGTGCTCTGGCCTCAACAGAGGTTTACCTGAGTCTTTTTGTTTGTTTGTTTTTGCTTCTTTCAGAACAACGGAAGGAGGATTGGCTCTGGGGTGTGGCCCAAATTCAAGTGGGTGGTGGGGGAGTGGTCTCCGAGCCCCAGTTGTGCTACCTGTACCAGGAGGGACTGCGGGTTAAGAGAGAGAGTGGTTACAGGAATCTGAGCAAGACCACCCAGTGTCGACAGCACTGGAGCACTCACTGCGGACTCTCAGTGAAGCACAACTATTACAGACAGCCAGGCTAGGCAAAAATATTATAGGCAGTCAGACGGGGCTAGGCCCTCAAGAGAGTCAGGACAAAGATAAAAACACATTTCCACTGTGTCCGGAGGCATCTGTTAGAAGCCAGGCCTCAAGAAGAAGAAGAAATGACCAGGCTTGAGGTAAGTGGTGACAGGCGGCCTAATGAAGTCAGATAGACGTCACCTCAGTGGGTGACCAGGGCCCTCAGACTCATCCTTCCTCTGAAGTTCTTAGTTCCTTCCATGTACACCTGCTCTGTGACTTGCTTCCCCATTGGGTCAGCATTACCTAGGCGGCTCTACTTTTAATCCAATTGGTTGCTCATAGCCGTAACCCATGTTGTACCCATGTGGTTGTGCTCTATAAAATTTCCCCTGAGAAGTGGGGTTCTCGGCAACCCA